TGATATATTTTTTTGCTTCTTGTTGTGCATCACCATTATTGAATCTCTTTGAACTAGGACGATGGATAACTTTTTTAGTGGCACAAGTGGTCGCGTTGGCAAATCTGGAGAAATCTTTGGGACAGATCAGTGGGCTTTTGGTTATTCTGTTGCTTTGCAATCTTTGGATGTTCCTCCAAATCCCTAGGTTTATTGCAGCCATGCATGATGGTTTGTTCTATTTACATATCAATACATCAATGATTAACAATTCTTTTCATCACTAGTTCAACATGCATGGCTCCTCCCAGATGTCCTGCCCACCTATGAATGGGCAACTTAGTCAGGGGTTCTCCATTGACAACACCCATGCCTCTCAGGACCCTCCATCATTGAAATCACAGAGGGCCACAAAGAAGAAAAACGTGTCCAGGAGAGGAACTGCATTCACCAAAGAGGAGGACTTGGTGGTGTATTTGACATTTCTGAATATTAACAAAGACCCTATTACTGATAATAGTTTGTAATGTCTTTTAAGAAATCTTTGACCCTTTGATGCCCAAATAACATGGTGGCATAACATGCAGGTGTGAATCAGACTTCAGGTGGTTATTACAAGAGGATGCATGATTATTTCAATAAGCATAAGCCTGAAGGGTCCAAACGTAGCCAGATTGCGATTCAACATAGGTGGGCATTGATTTAGAAAGCGATGAACAAGTTTTGTGGGCACAAAGAAGCTATTGATAGGCTGAATGAGAGCGGAAAAAATGAGCAGGATCGGGTATACTTCCACTCATGTTGTCCTCCATGTCTCTAATTTCCATATGTTTATTTTTTGAATCGGTTTAGTCTATATTCATATGTGCAGATTGATGATGTTGTACAAATGTACGAGAGGACAGAACCTTTTACCATCGTGCATTGCTGGAAAAAACTTCGCAATGAGGCCAAATGGAACAATAAGTTTCTTGAGCTAAACAACTCTACATCACCGGATGGAATGTCATCTCCTCCAACTCAAGGCCATACTGTGGCTGGCCATGCAGAATCTAGGAATGAGAAAATAGACACATCACGTCCTGAGGGTAGGGATAGTGCGAAGAGGCGTAGATCAAAGAGCTTCACAGAGACATCATCATCTAGTAGGCTATTGAAGTCCTCCAGCGGTTGCAGGACAAATCAGAGAAGACCAAACAGAAGCAAGACCAGCAAATGACTGAAATCCTTAGTAGGAAGGGTGAAAAAATTAAAATTCAAAGGGATCTTTTCAACCTTCAGAAGAAGCATATGAAGATAAACTAGAGGACGACAGAGCAAGCCGTTGATGGCTAGCACCTGACAGCAAGTAGTGTGTGCAAAAACCTTCAGAAGAAGCATATGAAGATGAGTGTGCAGCAGAAAAAGAAGAAAATATGATTAGAGAGGAGTCAGAGGCTCACCTGATATCAGTTGAGTCTAGTATTATGCCGGTTGACATTAAGAAGGTCCCCCTTTATCTAAAAACTATTATCTTGGCATGCAGCGACAAATCATGGAGCACAGAGGATTCATCAGCCCCTCGAACAATGAAGACTAAGGAGCGTGTGTTAAACTTCAGTTGAACTAGAGTTGAATAAATGTATTATGTGCAACTTTTCTATTATCTGTTGAACTGATGTATTATCTGTAGTGTTGTGAACTGCTGTGTATAGGCAATCTGATTTTGCCTGTCTGTAGTGTTGTACGACAAGATAACAATAGAAAAGAATAGTTGCTTAATGCTTACCACCACATTCTGATCTTGAACATATAGAATGCCTTTCTTGTCATACTCTTGCCTTTTTGCAGTATTACTCAGAACTGTTAAAGGAATGTTGGGGCTTCAAAAACAATAACACAAGATCAAGATGTATTATAATAGACCATGATATGTCAGTACTGATATATTCCTGAAGTACCAAATAGGCAGACGCTCTGAGATTGTAATCTGAATTACAGAGTCTACGTTACCTGACTGATGGCAGGCAGGGCTACTCGTTTTCTATGTTGGAAAAGCCATGTCAGTTACCTACCTTTTGTTTTGAAATTACTTCTAGATTGAAGGTGCACGCCACTAAAATAATTACAGAACTCCAACAGAATTCCACTACAGAGATCATATATTTCTTATCAACAAGCAACAAAATATCTACATGTGTCGGCTGCCAACAAAATACAAAGGCCTCATCAATAGGCTACCTGCAGCTAAGCCTGCAGCTACATACAGAGACGGCAACAAAAAAACTAAGCCTACAGGTAAATACTTTAGTTCCTGTTATTAGGACCAAAAGGACCAGAGCATTGGTCGTAAAGCATCCACATGTGTTCCATCAGGTCGTTTTGAAGCTGAGCTGTTGTCTCTCTGTCCTGAATGATGTTTTGAGCATCAGCAAGTTTCTCAATTCCCATGATTTCTCTATCCTGGTTAATTGGTGGGTCAGCCACTCCAAGCCATTCTGATGGGTGGATATTAGGTAGTTGAACCCCGCACTCATCTTCAACTACCATGTTGTGAAGTATGACACAAGCACGCATGATGGAATTAAGTACTTTTTTATTCCATAAACGAGCTGGCTGTAGGACACCAAAAGCTCTCTCCACGTCCTTTCGACATGACTCCTGTTGCTCTGAAAATACCTTTTGCTTGTTGCTAACTGGCAAAGGAATGCTTTTCACTAGTGTAGCCCAATCGGGATAGATGCCATCTGCTAGGTAGTATCCAAGGGAATATATGTTGTTGTTGACATGGAACTCAACAGAGGGTGCCCTCCCGTTAGTCAAATCATCAAAAACATTGGAACGATGCAAAACATTAATGCCATTGTGAGACCCTGGTAAACCAAAGTAAGCATGCCAAATCTGAAGATCCTCGGTCGCCACCGCCTCAAGTATTAGAGTTGGCTTGCCTTTGTGCCCTCTATACATGCCTTGCCAACCAGTCGGGCAGTTAGACCATTTCCAGTGCATGCAATCGATGCTGCCTATCATTCCCGAGAAACCTCTAGCCAAATTGATGCTTAACATGTGCTCTATCTCCTCACTTCTGGGAGGACGAAGAAATTCTTTGCTGAACACCTCGATCACAGTCATAACAAATTCCTTCAGGGTCTCCAGGACAGTACTCTCTCCCATTTTCAAATGATCATCCAACTCATCAGCTGGGCCTCCATATGCTAGCATCTTTACAGCCACCATGCACTTGTGAAGAGTAGAGAATCCTAACTGCCCAACAGCATTTCTCCTCTGTTTGAAGAAGGTATTCTTGGCAGTGACCTCATCCACTATCTGAAGGAACAATTCCCGTCTCATGCGGAACCTACAGCACAAAATTAGAATTGTTTATCAAATTAATTCAATGTGTCATGCAAATGGAAACTAGGCCAAAGATCGTACCTCCTTCTAAAATGTTCCTCATTGTAAAGTGGACGTTCAACAAAGTAGTCCTGATACAGTTGCAATTCGATCACGCTTGTAAGTCTTGTGGCCTGGCACTGAGCCTCCCCAAGGGTGCTTTTGTGGCGTCTAGGTGAGGACGACCACCGCAACCATGATCTCATCGTCCCTGGAGTATGCTGCGGCTGTCCCAAACATTGAAATTTTGACATAATTCCAAGCCATGGCAATTCAACTACAGTCCAGGTCTAAAGCCAAGCTGATTTAGGGACAAATTGGCCACAAATTAAGGGCTCGTTCGTTTTACGCTCCATCCAAATGGATTGGAGGAGATTGAGAGGGATTTGATACCCTAGAATAGCTATAGAAGGGCAACGTATATCCAAGATACCTGTAGCACACAAACATGACAAGCACAGTAGCTATAAAATTATAACGTCAATCCGAGATAGCTGTAGAAATAGTGGTAGAAGTACATACAACGCGTGGATATGTGAAATCGCAATTGAGTCACAGGCAGTACTCGCCATTGTACCAATCTCAATCTCCATCTCAACCCTAGAAAAAGTCAAAATCCCTCCCAATCCCCTTTCATCCTCTCCAACTCCACTTGGATTGGGGGTGAAACCCACGAGCCCTAAAAGTGGAGGTGACATCGAACAACCAAATCGCCAGAAATAAGTTTACCTGATTGACTCAGTTGTGCCAATGCCCAGCCTTGTGCCGGCGGTTGATCGTTGGCGGCTACCTCGCTGCCAGTTTGGCTCCTTTCTCACACACAGCCGGGGCGGCAAGATAATCCCGCCATGGAGCCAAGCCCGCATTACGCACGATACCCTCCCCTCCGTTTCCCGCGAAAATTTCATGGACCGTGCGCGAACGAAACCGTTCGTGTTCCGGCCTTTCCTTCTGCGTTCGTTGTTGGAGAAGGAAGCTTTTAGGGGTGTGACCTTTTTATTTCAGGGTGACGCAGAGGTCAACTAGGTCTCCTATTTTGAGTCGTACCGTTGGAGACAGTCTGATTAAAACCCACTTCAGTCTGCTGCAACGAGAGATTTCGGAGCCTTGGTGGCCCTTCCTAGACTCGACGCCTGTCTCATCCCATCTTGCAGAGAAAGCGGCAGCAACCCGCAGCCCGCAACCCGCAGCCCGCACGGCCGTCTCGCGTCCCTGCCCCCAAATCGTCTCCCTCGCCTGCCCCACCTCACGCCTCACGTGTTCAGCGCTGCGCTCGGGAAAGCAGAGTGGTGCCTCGGCGTCCATGACGGATGGCCCCCTGCTGCGATTGGGCCTGTTGGCAGGGACGAATTGGCGTGGGAGCAGGCGCGTCGTCGACCTCCCTCGCTCGCCCGGTTGCCCCTCCCCGCGCCGCCCGCGTTGGGCTTCGCGACGGCCGCTCGGGAGAGCAGGTGGGTGAGCCCCGGTGTGCATGACAGATGGGACCCTCCTGCGCTTCGGCCCACAGGCAGTCTCGAGTGCCAGATTGGCGTGCGTGCTGGCGCGCGAGCTCCAGATGGGAGGGCGATAGGGGTCCTCAAGAGCTCCTGACAGGCGCGTCGCGTCGGAGGACGGCGCTCGTCGCGCGCCGTACCCGCGTGCGCCCGGCCATGCCTCTGCGGATGACGGCGCTGTACCCGGTGAACAGTGTGCGGCGGCCCTGCCATCTCGTCTGGGAAAATCACGGGCGCCCCCCATCTGCTGGTGAGTCGTTCCTTCCCCTTTTCTACCCGGTCAGCTGAGGCCCTCGCTCTCTACCTGGTCATACCCATACCCATCGCCTCGCCCGCATCCCCCATGGACAGAACGTCCGAGACCTCCGCTACGGCGACTGGTGCAGGACTCCTCCGCCAAGGGCAATCCCACGTGGGGGACGTACGCTGCTGTTGTCTTCGGCTGCTAATCCGATGGTGGCGCAGCAACATTCATTTCATAAGATCTGCATCACAAGATGTGTTCATCTGTGGATTTCTTTGTAATTTGGTTTTGGATTTGCTCATTTTAATCAGTGCTTCTGATCAATTTCAGATGTAAATAATTGAGTGCTGAGAGAAGGCAGAGCAAAGGGGCCAGAAGAGAAGAGTGGCGTCTTTGATTGAAGGTTGGCGAGAACAAACTCAATCCTGCAGTTCTTGTGCTGCGCAGATTTGCCTCTGTTTTTGTGATGGCCTGAAACAAGATGCTACATCTCAATTTTCTGATCCAATCCAAAGTGTTTTTATTTGTTTGAGATTGAATTAACCGTCTGTTTTTTTTCCTGAACAAATCAAGGCATCCATTATATTATATCCCATTATAAACAGGTTGCTCTGAGATGCAAGAGTTGAAGATGTATTGTTTTTAGAATAATAACCGATTGGTTAGTTTGATAATGAATGCTTTGCCCTAACCTTAGTGAGGCATACGAAGCCACCTCAGTGAGGCATACGAAGCCACCCCACCCGCACTCGGCCAGGCCATCTCCAAACCAAACCCTAACCTTATCTGCAGACTGCGGCGGGACCAGCGGACGGGGCGGCTCCTGCGCGTGCAGGGCGCGGCCGCGCGGCAGGCTGGGTGCGAGCACCTGGGGACTTCGGGGAAGTAGAAAACCGACACCGAATTCGTCGGCTCTCTGTTTTGTGATTAACCAATCGGTTTGTAGATCTCAGAAAACGAAGTTTCCAAAAACAGAATAAACCGAACCGAGCTATCGGATCGGTTAAAACCGATTGCCCAGCCTGAGATCTCCTGACACGGATCGGATCCACGTATCTCGCAGTATATAGGCTTAAAGTATGGCATAAATAAAAAATGAATTACTGACCTGCTGACCTGCAACGTTGCTTTTCTGGTTATGACCCAACTTTTTCCTTCTTCAGTTCGGCATCAATTCTGGAAAGATGTTGCCAAGCAAGAGGGGTGCTGATGATCTCACAAGATTCTCAACTGACTCATTGATTTCAGGTCTGCTGGTTCTTCCTTTTTCTTCATAGTTTTTTAAGGCTCTATTTGAGCACTCACGTCTGTCTTGTATCGTGTTTTCTAACTTGTTGCTTATTTTGGGACAATCAAGGTTTCTGGAGTGAGCTGAGTTACGAAGTTGCATCAAAGTTGTCTAGAAGTGTTGTCTCAATTGCTTTGTCCCATGGTGATCTTGCAGGGCAAAATGTGCTATTTGCATCCTCTGGCATAGCTATAGAATGCCAGCCTAACCTCACAAAGTTTGTGACGTCAGCAATTTTGGTTAGAGCTTTCAATGATGAAAGAAATGGCCATGATAACATTAAGGTTGGTGCTGAATCATTTACTAATTGTTCTTTTTTTACTTTACATAACTGTGATCATTCTGTGCTGTTTCCTTGCTTTACTATTATAGATTGAAGTACGCGATGGAGGAAATGTTGCCATAGGGACTGTGGTAGAATATGACCTGGATCATGTAATTGCTGTTGTCGAAGTCACGTCCGCCCTTGATGTTTATTGCGTACCTCTCAGTTATGTGGAGGAATTGATGCCTGGTAGAAAGGTTGTGGCAGTAGGGCGTGACATCTCTGGCAAATTAATGGCCACAAGTGGGACACTTACTGCTTCGGGCCCTAAAGATTGTGGACACCTTATGTTCTCTACATGTAAATTATCTGAGGTACACTTGCGATATTATGAGTGCTATAATCTTTTCTTTTACTATATGCTCTAAACTGTGTCTCGTATTCAATAAAGAAAATGTTAATTTACTCCCTCTGTTTACTTTTATTAGTCGCTGTCGACTGTAATGCAAAAGCTTGGCCTTATTCTTTTCAAAATGTATACTTGTGCAGTTAAGTTGAATGGTTTTCATAGTGGTTGAGTTTGCAGTGGAACATACTTCAAAGATATCATACATTTTAAAATATAAAATAGTACTCCTTCCAGTCCTTATTACTTGACGTCTGGGCACAAGAATATAACTACTTTCGAGTCTATTTTTGTGTCCTAATGTTAAGTAATAATGACTGGAGGGAGTCGCATTTAGAATTTGCACAAGACAGTCAACAGTGGCTAGTAAATGTAAAGGTGGGAGTAACTCTTATTACCTGGTCATTTTATTCTGTTCCATTGTAATCCTTGTTGCTTGCCACATGTTTTTTGTTTGTTCTAGGTTATGCAGGGGGGCGCACTTTTTGAATTTGATGGGAACTTTGTTGGCATGAACCTTTTCTCGAATATGAAAAGACCCATATTCATGCCAAGGGATATAATTTCTGATCGTTTGAACCATTTACAGACATCCATGGAAAAGAAAACATTTCTTGCGATGATGAAGTCAGTCAGGTGTGCCAATATATTTCCAGTTTGCTTGTCTATGTTTGTAGTTGCAGCTTTCAGTGTTTACCCTTAATAATAACTTGATGCTTTGGTACCTCTAGTGTAAGATATTATCAAACAGGTCAGCTGTACTTGGCATGTGTGACAGTTGCTCTGTATTGTAGAGTAGCCATTTTCTTGTGTATCACATATTGAAGCCAACGTATTTGTTTACCCTTAATAATAACTTGATGCTTTGGTACCTAGCGTAAGATATATCAAACAGCTGTACTTGGCACGTGTCACAATTGCTCTGCATTGTAGAGTAGAGTAGCCATATTCCTGTGTTTCAAATATTGAAGCCAACATATTTGTCTAATTCAAAATATGTTAGAATATTTTGTTGAGATTAAAATATGAACATTACAAGGGAGTATGGACGCTCTTGACTATCAAGATTTTGTTTAACTGGATACCACCCGTTTCTCTAACTGGTGGTATAGGGCTGTCAAAAGAGTGCCCCATGGGCGGCGCCAGGGGTATGCCCTGGTATGCCATGGAATACCCAAGACTTTGATGAGAAAAATAAATATATATACTAGTATACATGTGCAACCTATTGTTTAATTGGATTAAAAACACACGAATCAACTAGCAGCCCAGTAGCCCACAAGAAACAGCCCAAGCAGCCAGCGTCCGGTCTGCTGTTGGCTGTCGCTGGTGGCCGGTGTTTAAGCCTTGAAGGCTTACTCGGTATCCATTCTCTAGATTTCAGGCCTCTAGGCACCACCGCACCAGGTAATGATTTAATTTCTCTAATTTAGAACGGATCACAATCTTGATTGATAAAATTTAGAGCAAAACGCTATGTGTTTGATAAAGGGCCTGTTAAGCTGCTTATGGCCGAAATAAGCTGAAACCAACGGCCAAACGGTAAGCTTTTTTGCAGCTTATTACGGCCGCGCTTATTCCCACCACTCTCATTTGTACTAAAAAGCAGAAGCTGCATTAGACCAGCTTATTTTGGCCACCGCTTTTACACTATTTGTGCAACTTATTGGGAAACCCTTTCCAGATAAGCTGTACCAAACAAGCATATTCTTGGCAATTCTTGTAAAAAGATGGGAATTCTTAGAGTAGCTCAGGCTGAGGAACTAATTGATAAATGTTATGGTATTAGTACACTGTACACTTTTGATTATTGTTATGGACCTATAGTTCAATATATTGTTTATTAGTATAGTAATTTTTTACGTGGAATACCCTGATGTAAAAATCTGGCTCCGCCACTTGAGTGCCCAAGGAGCAGAAGAGTGGTCTCAATTCTCTGATTATCCTAGTTGCATGGGAATTATGGAAACATATAAATGATTGTGCATTTGAGGTATAGAGTCCTACTGTGGAGGCAGTCTTGCAAAAGATTGCCAATGAGAGCAGCCTTTGGTGTATGGCTGGAGCTTCTGCTCTCCAGGAGCTCCTTTGCAGGTTGCTCGGTCTTGGTCCTTAATTTGGGGCAGGGTAGTCGTTGGTTGTCCTTTTTTGTGCGTGGCGCGTCTGTACCTTTGTTTTTCAAGGATGTGTGTGGTGGGGTGTTTGGAGGGGTTTTTTTGGCCCTTTGTATTGTGTTTTCTTCTCTCAATGAAATGACACGCAGCTCTCCTGCGTTTTTCAAGAAAAAAAAGATTTTTTTAACATTTGCTCAGTTCTTGTATTATTACACTATCTACTCGTGCTGATCCCTTTTGGGTTAATACTCGAATTAATGTTTTATCTACAGGCATAGAAAAAGACTGACAGGTGTGGAACTTCGCTCGTATCCTGAAGGTGAGTACACAACCACCCAATATTGATCACGAAATGTTATTTAATTGTGCAGCTCATCACTGTTTCTAAGGTCCTCGAGTGGTTCAAATTAAGCCTTTACATTTGTACTTCTATATAGCTAGTTTAGTCTTCTACAGTTATATTATAGTGTTAAGAGTTAATCCATTAACATTACTTGAGCACTAGCGATTCAGCCAATGCCTGTGCGTTGTGATCACAAAATAAGTGTACATCAGGTTTTGATTTTGAAAAGTAATTTTACTCTGGTCTAAAAATTTCTATACGTGTAATCATATCAACTGGCTCCTACATATACACATACGCAGATAGTACAACACTATGCTATAAAATGCTACACACACATCCTTCTTAAATCCATCCAGAAAGATCTGGATTGAGTGTGCATAGAGCACACCATGACCATCAAAGCTCCTTGAAGAGTAGAGATGGCATGAGTTGCTGCACAAGTTGCCATAACATTTTAATCTTAAGTTATTATGTGGAGAACTTTAAGTGACTGTTAAATGCTGTACTTAGAATTAACACATGTCAGTGCTAATCAACCTTGTTGCACCAGGATAAGCAAAGGTGCAATTTGGGTTATCTCAGTCCATCAAGGGACGTGGTCATGAGTCAATGTTTGCTGAGTTATCACGCGCTGCGCATTTTTACAGCCCTGCTGTCCCACTAACTATTATACGATATCTTGTCTACCAGGTAGCATGAATGTTAATACTTTTGAAGAAAAGTTTGGCGACAAATATCCTACTGGTGTCTGGGGTAAATTCAAGAAAGAAATTTCTTCTCACATATCTGACATTGTTGTCGCACTTGCTTCGTTCCATGGTGATTTCAGTGATGCGCTATTTACTATTTCACATTTATGTTCAGTTATCACTAGCTAATGGCAGTTATGGTGTCCAGGTGAATCAAAGTTCTTTGCATGCACAGGATTTTTCATCAACTATGATGGATGTCCGACTATTCTGACCTCTGCCAGCTTGGTTAGGGATCCCGATGGCGCAAATGAGATTGTGAGCGGCTTAAGGGTTGGTACTTTGAATTTTACTGTGATTCTTTTTTGTCCAAGACACTGCTTAAGTCTCATTGTATTGTTTGCAGATTGAGGTGTTGCTTCCAAACAACGAACAGACTGTAGGGGAATTGGAACATTATAGTTTACATTACAATATTGCTCTAGTCAGCGTCAATAATTACAATGTTGAGTGTCCTGTGAAGCTGGAACCTGAGTCGATATGTTATGATGAAATGGTAGTAGCTGTGGGCCGTTGCTTTGAATCAGGTATATTAATGGCTACAAGTGGGAAATACATCCATGACTACGACAAGGTGTCAAGCGATTTGGATTGTGAATATCTTTGGTACACTACGTGTAGAACCACTAAGGTAGCAGCACCCTTGCCTTTTCTTTTTTAATTGCCTACTCTAGCCTACCCCAACTTGTTTGGGACTGAAATGCTTTGTTGTTGTACTTTTACCAGAATATGATGTACTTAGCCTTACATACTTGGCGTCACAACTGACCTCTCCATATAACCTGATTAGGTTGTTATTGGAGGTCCCCTTGTTGATTTGAATGGAAAATTTATGGGCATCAATTACTATGATACAGAAATAGGAACCCCGTTCCTGTTTTTTCTTGATATCTGGAAAATTTTGGTTGATTTGAAGGCAAAAAAGTAAGTGTGGATTTCTCTTTTGGTATTTAAGTTGTTATGTTAGTGCTGGTATACAGGTTTAGTTTTGCACATGACTGCAAGATTTGTTTAGACATTTGATCAATAATCTAGTTGGAGGTAAAATCAACATAATATTCTATTAAATCTTGTATTTTGCGTGTTTGACAGGGCGATGATTGGTGGTCATGAGGGCTGTGTGGAAGATGACAACGGACCACCAAACATGTATGTAGATACATCTCATCGATCTCACTATTATTATGTAATATTAATAACCATATATTGTTTGAGACTTGCTGACCTGATGATGACGTGGGAAAATATATCGTTGAATGGCAGCTGGGTATTGCCTGCCTGATCCAAGGTGATATGGATGAAGATGAAGTTGAAGATTAACGTGCAGCCCTAGGCAGCAACAGCAACGGATTACGATAATTGCTAACTGCATACTAGTAGCCTTCGTTTTTTTTTTGGGATTAGTAGCCTCATTCTACTCCGCTGAATTGCTATCTGCATGCCGTAAGCTTGTTTTATCTGGATTGGATTGGAATCCCTGTGGTATCTTAATAGAGTATTTGAACTGCTGTCTGTTGCTAAGATATTTTTTTGGTTGATGCTCCTTGATTGAGAAACAAGACCTTTACTACTAGTCAGCAACACATTATTATAAGCTTACATAAGCAAAATTTGGCATCCTGCAACATTAGCCTCGGCAAAGTGGTCCTGTCGTTTTATTTTACGTGTCATTTAGACCTTGTTTGGAGAGCTTGAATTATTTTTAGGCTGCATCGGAGCATCATTATTATCGTGCGGTCTAGCGGATTGAGGATGATACTCTTTAAGATCTAGTTGGGCCCGCATTTGATACTCTTTAAGATCTAGTTAGGCTGCATCGGAGCATCATTTCGTTGTAGTTTCTGGGTTAAGCTCGGGGGATGCAGCCGCTGCATGGTGTGAGGGAAATTTCTCCTCTCTTGTGCAAACAATTAAGAATCATGATATATATGCAGTAGAACAAGGAGTACATTCAACAACAGCTAGCAAAGCAATCTGCTGGGAATGATCTGGTATTGCAGTATATATAGAAGGGATATAAACGGTAGACGATCATCCTAAACTGTCTAAGTGTGGTATGTCATTAGTAGCCATTCATATAATTAAATTCCAAATGAAATGGTACAGATCAAGCCCAATTTGTATCACACAAATTAAATAACGTTTTTGAGAGGTAGGAAATACAAATTTCAGAGAGTAGTGGCCATGCAACCACCGTTACACGAATCCAGGGCTCCAACTCAACATCTAGGTAGTACAAGCAATCAATGAACGAACCAATGTGTAGTAAGTAGCTAGTCCTGTGTGTTGCAAGGCTGGCCGCCTGTCACAATACCTGTTCTTCAACTAGATGACCCTTTAGCTTGCTAGCTTCTTATTTGACTGACTTTCTCATGCCTATGCTATCATCTATCAGCAGGCTTCAATTCCATATATATGGAGTTGAAGTTCTTGTGTGGCTTGTTGCTTGTAACAAAATAATATATCGTTACTCCGGCCAGTGTTGCCTTGAGAATCATTTTTGCTTATGATGGTTTTGGGCGGCCCAGCCGTGAGCAGTACTAGTGTTCAGGTCATGGTCAGTTTGGTAGTAGACAACATCCCCATGGTCGCTGACGAAGTGGTCGACTCTGAGGCTCCTGAGGAGCACGCCAAGGAGGTGCAGTGGCAGCGGCCCTGACTTCTGCGGCTCCCGGTAGTATCGCCCCAGTACTGGCTTCGCTGCCTTGGTCTGTTTTCAGATCAAATTTCAATTTTTAAGCAACAGAAGAAGAAAGACAATTGTTTTCATGTTACATTTTGTTTAACTTGTAAGCAACAGAATAAGCAAGACAATTGTAACTTTTGAGTATTCTTTTTTTTTTCGAGAACATGCTGCGCGCGTGTTTCAACTTTTGAGTATTCAGAATTTCAGACGCGCTATATATGAGCTAAGTAATTCAGTAGCATCTACATATTCATTCAGACATTCAGTAGAGCTCTTTTTAAGATAACGATTCAGTAGAGCTTAGTACGTATATATATAGATGGATCATGGTTAAAAGGTAGCAGCTAGCTTACAGCTTCAACGAGATGGTAGTGCGGGATCTGCGGGAAGAGGTGATGAATGACATGGGTGCCGATGTCGTGGTGGATGTTGTTTATCCAGCCGTAGTCCCTGTCCACCGTCGTCAGGCCACCGCGCAGGTAGCTCCACTCCTCGCCGCGGTACCAGGGAAGGCGCTCCTGGTGGCCATGGTGGTGCAGGTACGTCACCAAGTCAAGCCACATCACAAACACCTGCATACATGCAGTTAGGGATGCATCGATCATCAATACTGCTGCTTTTGGTATTCGTTTTGAGTTGCTTGCTAGCTGATGATTCCACAATGCAAGTACGTGTACCAGCTAGGAAAAAGAAGTAGTACTAGTTGCTTATAAGCAAACATTAGTTAGTTAGTTAGTGGGGGGAAATTACTAATCAAATCGACAATAAGCTAGGACAGTACTGGTAGAGTGTGGTTGGTTTTCTTACAAGGTATGGGAGGCCGTACATCTTGAGCACTTGGGCTGGGCCGAATGCGCACGCCATGGCGAGGAGGGAGGCGAGCATGATGCACCAGCAGGTGGTTGAGACCATGACGTCTCCCTTCTCCTTGGGGCTGAACAGCTCACTGCTGGGAAGAAAGTGGGAGCCCGTCTTTCCAGGGCTCCTGTACAACTGCATCCATGCAAGCGCAACCAACTATATAATTGAGTTTGTTTTCATCAGTTTGGAGACTGAACATTTGAATTTTTTTGATGAGAGACGCTCCATGCATATGGATTCATGCATGTGTATGAGATGATCTTATTCAGATTAACACGTACGAGGTAGACGGGGAATGCGAGCAATGGGAAGGGGACCGTGAATCTTAGCTTCTTTGTGCGTGGCTCCAGTTGCCGGTACAGCCCCTCCGTGATCTGCATTATATTGCAGGCAGGCAGCTCCAATTAAGTTTCAGAAAACACAGGCATGGATTCAAAGACAGATACTACTATATTTTCCATCACATATGAACCGAAAGCAACGACAGCAAGAATCAGACAGTCGCAGTTGCCCTGAACCAAAATAGTTGGATGCGCGGGCTTAGACGAATGACAACCGGTGCACAGCTAAGGCAGTTTGTTGATTTGTGGCAGCGCATAAGGGGGATCCAGCTAACCACACAGCCGAATCAGATACGGTGGCGATTCTCGGCAGATGGCCGCTATTCCTCAAGATCAGCATACATGATACAGTTCCAAGGGTCTATAAAGGACTACAAGTGGGAAGATATTTGGAAAACAAAGGTGGAGAACAAATGCAAGTTCTTCCTCTGGCTGCTATTGCAAAGGAAGCTGCTCACGTCGGATCGAATAATTAAGCGGGGAGGACAAGCAAACCCAATTTGTCAGTTGTGCAGAACACGTAATGAATGAATGACACACATGGTTGCAAACTGCCCTTACTCCAAAAGAGTCTGGTGACACATAGCGCAGCAGACCGGCCACCTAAACATTCAACCAAGGCAATCGGTTGCCAATCTGAAACTATGGTGGTCTGATCTATCGGGCGAAACACAAACAGCTGATCCGGAACATAGAAATCAAATTATCACATATACGACATGGAACATTTGGAAGGAAAGATGCCGACGAGTATATGACAACAAAGCACTAACGGAGATACAACTAGTGGCTGTAATCAGGCAAGAGGTGGCTGCGCTCAGGCAGGCGATGCAGATGTTGGACACCTAACCGGCATGGCTTGATTTATATATTTTTTCATCCTTTTTGTTCTATGTTTCCCCCCTTATTGGGTCATCAGACCTTAATGTACATTACTCAATCATATCCCTACTGAAATGAAAAGGCAAAGCACCTGCCATTGCCCTAAAAAAAAAGCAATGTATGTCCGCAAATTAATAAGTACTATAATCCAACTAATGATCATTTAGCACAGCCATATATACTGCAAATCAGAGCCCGAGAAAAGTAAAGCATCGCTGTAGCTTATCTTGTGATTACCACTCAGAGATCTGGAGGACGTGAATTATATTGAAACTTTTCTCGTTTACTTTTTTTTCCCTCATTACATCTTGATATTGATAAAACATGATGCAGCTAGTAGTTGCCCCTGACGACACAAGAAATAAAAGGGCAATAAGCTAGGCTGACCATCGTATGGCATTGCCAAATACAGATATACAAGTGTGTTTGGGTTGGTACTTGCATTATTGGTAGCCAGCAGTATAAAATTTTGGCAGTAGTAACTTAATTAATTGTTGGGATCCAACAATGGTAGGCAGTGGTACCTTATTTAGCAGTCATATATGATTTAGTATTTATTAGCAGCAACTCTCGTGATGGGTTACATGGTGCAGATACAGATATACCTAGATCTAGCTGCTGCCAGCTGCTGCTGCTGCTGGTGCAGTGGTGGTGATGGTAGGAGCCAGTACCCAATTCATTATTATTGGTTCAGGCATCATGGACCACATCTTTCAATTAATCTCTGCATCAGTCAGAGCTAATAAGAAGCTGTGGTTGATTAGTAGCCTGCAATGCCATGTGACTGCCTGGAGCGCCTAGATCTGCAGCAGCCTTTTTGAAAGCTAGCTGGTCGAGCATCCCATGCATGAAAAGCAAAGGATAGTTTCACAAAAGGATGGACAAAATTTATGCTGAGATTTTTAGTACTGCACATATATGCTATCGTCTCTAGAAGAACATGACGGTTGTTGGAGGCCTAAATGCTGCTGCTCGGTGAAGCTCAACCACATTTATCTTACTTAAGTCAGTATGCACTCCTAGCTACTACTCCCTCCGTGAAAAAAAAATACAATTCTTAGTTCCCGAGAAGTCAATAAGTTTGAACTTTGACCAAAATTATATAAAAAAAATATACTAACATTTCTGATGCAAAATTAGTATCATTAGATTAGTCATAAAATATATTTTTATAATAAATTTATTTAGATACATAAATATTAATACTATTTATTATAAACTTGGTCAAATTTGAGCTATTTTGACGGCACGGATTCCATAATTGCATTCTTTTCTGGACAGAGAGAGTATATGTGTAGCAGCTACATACTAGCAGCAACAAAAAAAAGTATATTTATATTTAAGATGTACTAGTAGTATACCAATAAATAGATAGATAGATAGATGTACTGAGTGACTGACCGGGTGCCATGACTCGTCCCTGTGGATGTGGCCGTGGTTCTGATGGTGTGTTCTGTGGCTGATCCTCCTGCATCATTCGTGCATGCCCACCAATAATTAACCAGTCGCTCAGGTTAATTTTTATTATGCATGACGATGTATCATCAAAGACCAGCTAATTAAGAAGATATCAAACCTGCCTGCTAATGCGACGATATATGTGTGCATGGCAATGGATTTCTTTAATTTTTACATGATGACATGTTTTGTATAGAGTGCATATATACATGACACAGCTAGCTAGTACTTGGCTGTGCTGAGGTGAATGAAGACAAGAGACTGCATGCAACAAATTTAATTATGCAGCTAGCTAGTACATGCATGGATGCTACACTGGTATGCGTGCATCATCGTATCATATCAGCAGAGATTCTCTATGTAAATATGTAATAATATATAATCAAGCAAGCAAGCAACATGTAGTGTGCTCTCCATATAAAAATGTTATTATACGTACGATATATATATATATATATATATGCTCTATATATACTCCTACATAGACCATCCAAATAAATATCTATGACACCGATCGAGATCGTGTCGTATCGAAATTTTGGAGAGAAGGAAAAAGAAAAAAGCAACATGCATGCAGTGTGCTCTCTTCCATATCTTTTCTTTGCCTGCCTTACTTTACGTGCACACCCATAGTTGTCGTCGATGCCTTATTGCAAACGAAAGCGACAAAAAGGCTATATAGGCATGCATGCATCAAGGGATGGAGCCATGGAGGTGAATGAAGAAGAAGAAGAAGCAAAGGACGCAAGGGAGGAATTCGATCGATCGAATTGAAGAACATGCATACTACATACCATCCATGGTAGGGGACGAGGATGAAGGAGTGTAGGAGATGCCCCACCACGCTGTTGAGTGTCGCGCTGTCCGAGAAACTCCCGTGACCACTGCACCGATCAATACATTACATATGTATACATTACATGCATCTTTGTCAGGTTGGTCGTCACCGTCGTCGTAACCAAGAAAAGGAACAGACGACGATGAGTGGTCCCGGCCGGCCTGGAGGAGGAACGGACGGGGGCGTACGTACCAGTCGTGTCCCAGGACGAAGAGCGCCCAGAACATGGTCCCCTGCGCCGCCCAGTACACCGGCCACACCGCCCAGCTATCCATGCCCGCCGCCGCCGCCGCGCCCAGCGCCGCCACCACCGCCACGTCGCGCGCCACGTACCACAGCGACCGCCAGGGGCTCTTGCGCCAGCAGTGCTCCGGCACCGCCGCGCGCACGTCGCCGATGCGGAACGGCGGCGGCTTCCCGGCGTCGAAGCCGTCCACCCGGCTCTTCATGTCCTCCGTCGCCTTGGCCGCCGCCTCCTCAACCTGATCCGCCGGCCGCCTCGTCGTCATCTGTGAAGAAGGGGGCGGCTGCTGTTGCTTTTGCGGCGGCGTCGTTTGGGTCTGCGTCTGCGTCTGCATTGGTACGGTGGTGGTGCGATCGACCGCCGGAGTTGGAGAAGATAGATCCGAGAGAGAGATGGAGTTGGTTTTGCTAGGACATGAACGGGAGGCGTAACGTAAGACACTGAGCCTCTCTCTTCCTCTCCCACAAATAATAAGCCAACACAAAAAATATATATGTCGTGTCTGGGTGCGGCGTCTCTTGCGGCTACTTATAAGCAGCGGGCACCCAGCCCACACCACATGCATGTGCCAACCCCAAGCCCGCCCCTTTTGGGACGAATCAATCGATCATGTACACCACCACACCATGCACACTAATGACGACACTATAACAGCCACTGTTATTTTTTTTTAAACGAACCGCCTGAGGAGCTGAAGCAAGGGTTTCGTCGTACCGCCCCGCTCGTCACCCTACCCTGCTCAGCTAGTCCCCGAATTTTTTCCCTCGCTCCTCCAAATCAGAATGAGAATAGGATATCAAATCAAATCAAATCGTTTTAAATCTGAATCAAAAAAATAAAATATGAAACCAAATTAAATGAAATAAAAAAAATACAAGTCAGATATGCAGGGTATCGTCGTACCGCCACGCTTGCTCAGCTCGCCCCGGATTTTTTTGCCTCAGCTCCTCCAAATCAAAATCGGATATCAAATAAATCGTTCCAAATTTGAATCGGAAAAAAAGAAAATATCGAACCAAATCAAATGAAATCAGGAAAAAAATACAAGTCGGCGGCGGTGCTTGGCAGTGCCAAGGAGGTTGAGGTCTCTGCCTGATGTGGACAACGGTCGGCGCGAGGGCTCGTGGATGGTTAGGCTCGGGTCCAACACCACCGTAAAAATAGTAAGAGCAGGTTAAATAACAGCCTGATTCGACTGCCATGTCAACCATGTGCACGCAAAAGGGGAGAGAGAAAGCTATGCTTGGCACTGGTTTCGTCGATCAGCTCGTCACGCATGCAAGACACTTTGTCTGCGTAGAGGTTAACCCTTCCCTTCCTATCCTTGCATATTGATTAAAAATAATATTTAGACTATAGAAAGGGACTAATTGTAGGCTCTAAACTTGTCTATTGATGACTTGGCTTGCCTTATAGACAAGTTTTATTAGGCTTTCTCTAGAATCTGCTCTTGCACATGACCCGATCTGGTCCTAAACCCGAGACCCGTGGGGCAAAAAAATACACCCCTGCAGGACCGAGGGAACCTTACTTAGCAGACAATTGTGCCTTGCCGTTTTCAATGTGAAGTGGAACTATTCTGTATGGTTAGAGGAAGGTGAATACAACTTTATATTTTCTATATAACTAGATTATAGATTTCTTAATATGTTTACCTAAGCCATAACTCAAGTGTGTCGATGTAGTTGTATGTAAAAATTCGTGATCCCCATGCAACGCATGGGCATATATTTAGTTATCTTAAAATGTAGAAAGCCCTAACAGACACTATACAGAGAGAGAAAACGATAACAACAACAATAATATATGGTCCCAGCCGGCAAAACAGGGAATACTAATACTTATTGTACAAAATAGGTACCATTATATTCATCATGAAACCTACATTTATAATATATTTATTAGATGCTATAAACATCAATATGTTTTATCTACACATTTGGTTAAACTTTAGATACTGTAATCGAAAATGCCCCTATAATAATTATTTTTTCAGGACGGATGTAGTACCAAGCAACCACTTGTACGTTGTTGCTTGTATGAATTGTTGTGATTTCCGTGGGCTAACTTAAGGTGGTAAGCCATTTTTTCTAGTCTCAAACTCTTATAACAAATTAAGCACGCTTCAGAGAGAGTAGCTTGCTAGGGAGAAAACTATAAGCTGGGAATCCGTACGTAATAATTCAATCACAAGTACAAATGAAATGGTCCAAACATACAATAAATTATTAAGCTTAACATAAGACTGAATGGACGGAACTTATTCTTGGACGGCATTGCATTGTTGGCGGAATATATTCCATATATACTCCACCGACTAAACAGTCTTTTCCATATATATGCACAATACGTACGGTTCAGTTGCAACAGCGCTTTATTTCTTTGGCGAAAGCAACAGATAACAACTTTTCGCAGGAGATGCATGCTACGTATAAGAAACCCATGCAAGCAATGGATCGGACCACCACAAAAGCAACTTGCATACACACAGTTGGGCTTATTTTCACGTTTTTTCTTCTGAGAAAATTGAAGAAATGACAGCGAAATGCACTTCATTGTGCTATGATCCGTGCAGGAGCAACAACGCTACCGGACGCGTCAAATCACTGCTTACCTTTCTTGGATGCACTTTTTTTTTTTTTGAAACTTTCTTGGATGCACAGCTGGGACTTCACTTCTCCAGACATGACCTCCTTTACAAGCTAAAGTTAAAGCTTCTGATAGTGTCATACAACAGCTAATGAAACAACGAAATCTATGAATTAGAATCGGACACGCAAGGTTTTTTTCCCTCCCTATTTATTGCCTGTACAGTTCAAGTTCCAATCAGGAAGTGTAATACATCATGAAAATCAAGAAAACTATCCAACAACCTTTGCCCACCATACTTGATCAAACCTATAACGAACTGTTAGTCTTTCCCACCAAAAAAAAGCGGAAAAAGAAGAGGATGGCAAGCTAGTACAGCTCCAACGGAGCATAGACATCAGCAACTTATTACATTGCAGTTCTCCAGCATGCTTGAAAACCACAACTTCACCTTCCCTAGTTTCATCTTACAATCCAGTTTTTTCTACCAAAAAAATATTACTGTACCAAAAACAAGTCTTGCAGTAACCTGCAATCATTGTGTATACAACATACTGTTTGACATGAACATACAAGCCTACAACTTTTTCATGTACATGATCTGAAGCAATGACAAAAATACAGAGAACACCCCAACTCTGAATCTCTCAGGAATAACCAGATATATCCCCTCAGTAGCACTCATGAAAGTCCATATGACCATTTTCTTAGGCCAAATATTTTTTTTCTTACAACCACCCAAGTATGCTTGCAGTTGCATAGACAGTAGGGGGTACAAAACAAGCTTGGCGTTCTTCTTCAGTAAAAGAATAAAAATGGATGAAAAGAAATTAATCATCCAGCACGTAAGCACTATTTCTGAAATAGGGCAGCAAGCTCCCGTTTTTCAGCCATGGATGAAATAATATCACAGCCTCCCACGAGCTCCCCGCCAACGAAAATCTGAGGGAACGTCGGCCAGTTGCTGTATGTCTTCAGCGCCTCTCTTAGCCCATGGTTGTGTTCCTCATCAAGCACATCAACAGTTACGAAATCCTCTCCATGTGCTTCCAGGATACCCACCACCCTTTGTGAGAATCTGCACTGGGGAGCACTCCTTGATCCTTTGATGAAGGCTACCACTTTGTTCTCCTTCACCAACCGGTCTATCAGCTGTTCTAGTGGAACAGTCAGCTGGACATGGCGTCCAGGCATCAACCGCAAAGTCTGAGGTTTCTGGGGGCACCAACCCAGGTGTAGTTTCCTGCAACATTCCCTGGTGGCGCCTTGCCAGTGGCTTCTATATGTTCTTCCATCCATGATTTCCAGGCATTATTAAGGGCAGCTCGATCTGGTGTCTCCTCATCTGATACTGTGACCTGCACATGTTACAATGTTAGTGCAATCAGATATTCAAGTATTAAACATGCAAAAAGTAGAAATTAATTTTCCTTTTTGACAGATTTATTTTATGCAGAATAGTGCCATACTGGTATACAAAAGTAATGAAGCAAAAGAGGAGTTAAGGCAGCAGGTGTGTCCAAGTCTTTAAGGCCCCAGGAGAACCAGGGCAATATTCAGAAGGGCTGTTATAACAACTTAAATTCACAGAACTGACTAAAATGGGACACAGGATGGGGTAGAACAACCACTAGCTAAAACTTTGACCGAATATATGTTATTTCAGCAGATCCTTTGGCATTAACACATCATATGAAGACATATCCAGATTCATGATCTTGCATGAGCAGGCCCCATAGTTGCTAACATGCTATAGAAGCAATAAGGAATTTAAAGTCCACAAACCTGCTATAAAGAAGGGGCTTGTGAATAATGTAATATCATACCTACTGGCTACCGTCCTAATAAAAGCTAATCAGTTACAGAGGTTAGAATGAAAAATACAATGCTAAATACTAAATCAGCTACCAATATGCACATATTGTTTTGCAGACAGTATGTTGAACGTCATGTTCTGTCAACCAGAACAAGGCTCATGGATGGCTGAAAGAAGAATAAATTACTGGGTTCCATCTTACTGCAGATGGGGGAGAATGAAGTAAGAAAGCATATTTTCTTTCGGCGAGAAAGTAAGTAAGTGAGCATACCGAATGAGAAATGCAAACTCCTACATCAAGCAAAGTATGGACCGACTGATACTAGCTAGAGATGTTTATACAATGGCCAATCAATGAGAATATTACTGATTGGGGAGAATGGATAAGGTAAGCATATCGACTATTCGCAACTACAAAAACTGGTGCCCTTTTGTTCCCTCCTTTCGGTCTTTCGGCCATAGCAAAAAGTGAGAAAGGACACAGGCTTAAACCATTCCAGCCCAAGTTAGCATGTATCAGTTTGCCCAAATTAACGATCCCAATACCAAAGCTAGCTCAAAGGTAACTACTGGTTTAGTTCCAAAGCGAGGCATGTAATTGGGAGCATAAACTGTTAATATAATGATATACATGCTTAGTCGATGCCATACCTTGACGGAGGCGCAGAGGTTAGCGGGGACCTTCCGGCGGTGGCCCTCGACGCTGGCCCTGACATTACGCGAAATCCCGACGAACTGCAGCTCCCCGGCGGGGTCGTAGACGCCGTAGACCCCGGGCTTGGGGGGCAGGGCGTCCTCGTCGACCAGGGGCTGGGTGGGCTCCTGAGGGATGGGCACGGGGGACGCCTCGGAGAGCTTCTTGAAGGCGGCTACGGCGAGGGGGCGGGAGGCGCGGCGGCGGCGGAGAGGGAAGCGAAGCGTATTGGAGGACGACGAGGAGGAGGCCGGCGCGGAGAGGAGAGGGAAGGCGAGGCGGGGAGAAGCAGCGGCGGTGGCGGTGGAAGCCATGGCCATGGGGATGCTTCGACGGTGGGGCGTCTGCTCTGCTTTGCGTCGGCGGCGAGTGGTGGTGGTGTTCTGTCAGTCAAATCGGATGTGAGCTTCGTTTCGGCCCATAACAAGAGGCCCGTTTCTGTTGTCTGCTGGTTACAGGCAGGCCCAGGCCGACCTGCTGGCCTGCTAGACCCACCTGCAAATACAGTCTTGGTGGCCTGTTCTAACCTTTTGTTATTTTATTTATTTTTCTTCCGTTCTCAATCGACACGGTGCAGCAAGAGAGACTTAGGAATACTGTTTCTGCTCAGAATTACAAGATGTTCTGTGTAATTCATGCTCAGAATTACAAGATCCATGCTTGAAAAACAAGCTAATGGTTGACTAAGGAGAGCAATTTCCATCCCTTTCTTTCTAAGTGAAGATCAATACTCTCAAAGCTTGGCATGCATTGTCTGATCAGGCAATATAAGCGTCCAAAATCGGATGACTGGGGTGCCACTGTTTGCCTAGGCAGATTTTTACAGTATCCCTCCAAACCGCCCCTTAAGGTAGGTTTGCTAAATTCCTTAAGGGTCCGTTTGGATGTAGATATTGGGGGAGCTGGAATTGAATTGGGTTCAATACCAAAGCAGCCATGGTATTGAAATGGTCACAACTCAAATACTATTGTTCGGATGGCCATTGAATTGGCTTTTGGAATCCTAGCAAGTAGCTCAATACCGTTTTTTGTTTGGATGCAAAAGAATAGAATTGAAATGTTGGGCCACGGCAGGGGAGCTCAAGTGCGGCCATGGGGGAGCTCGACCCCGGCCAACATGGTGGATCTCGCGCTGCCGTCCATGGGGGAGGGGAAGAGGTCCCTCCGCCGTCCATGAGGGAGAGGAAGCAGATCTCTCGCCGCCGGCCATGAAGAACAGGAAGAGCAGGTCTCCAGGCATGGGGAAGAGGAAGTGGAGCTCGCGCCGACGTCCATGGGGAAGAGGAAGCCGATCTTGCGCCGCTGGCCATGGAGAAGAGGAAGATGAGGTCGCAGGGCATGGGGAAGAGGAAGAGGAGCTCGCCGGCCATGGAGAAGAAGGGGCACCGCCGGCCACGGAGAAGAAGGGCGCCGCTGGCAATGGAGAAAAAGAGGCGTCGGGGAAGAAGAGAAGAGGCTGCCTGTGCGATAGGCCTCCGCGTCGGGGTCGGGGACGTCGGGGTCGAGGGCGACAGGCTTGGGCGGCCTCCTCATCGGGCCTTTGCGTCGGGGTCGTGGTGGGGGATGAATGCCGCACAATACGAAGCCGTGGGGCTCGGTATTGGAGATGAGGAGGGGCAGGTATAGCCAATACCGATCGGTATTGGGTTCAAATTCCAATTCCTAATTCTTAGTCATCCAAACTGTAACACCCTCGGTGTTACACTGTAAATAATTTACTAAAACATGTTATGAGCATCATGTTTATGTGTTAATGCATGTAATAAAGAGTGTAGATAAATTTCCATAACTCAAAATGATCAATAGAAATACGAAACGAAAGTTAATTTAATAGTCATGTTGTATCACTTAGAGTTTAAAACTAATTTTTATTAAGCAAAAATGTTACAGAACATGTATGTGATACTTGAATAAAGTTTGAAGTACAAACTCCGTAGATGACGATGAAATACCTGCGGTCGAAAAATGATATTACTAGCTAAGATTTTCAATAGCTTAGAAATGTAATTTGAAATAGAGTTAAACTCAGAACTTAGAAAATTTCTTGAACTTTGGAAAGGGTAGACATTGCTTTGTTCATCAATTTTTGTAGAAAAATTTAGTTAAGAAGAAGAGTAGTGTCATGGCCTGTTTTGGTAGCCTAATGTACCCTCTTAAGTATGGTGAAGGTGGTTTGGGTGTTTGGCCAACCGATTAGTTGTTTTGGACGCTTTAAAAAGTGTGCATGGCACATCCTCAGTCGGTTTCCTCGTGTAGGCGCGGTCACCGTGCCCTTGAGCCATGACGTCGACGCGCCGACCGCCCGCGCGTGCGCCTGGCCACGCTCGGCTGGCCGCTGTGGCCGACAGCCCTGGCGCACGACTGTCCCACCTCACTGCCGCGCTACTACCCCGCCGCTAGCTTCTAGCCGTGCACCGTCACGCCATCGTTGTCTTGCCCCGTCCCGCGTTGTGTCGCCGTCGTGTCTGCCTCTGCTGCCTCATGTTGCGACGCTGCCACCGCCATCGTGTCGCTCCTGTACGCGTGCTGCATCGCGTTGCCCCTACCTGGCCCGGTTGGGTGTTGTCCGCACGTGGCCGTGCATGCCGCCATCGCTTTGACATTTATGGCACTTTGGCCGCGCGGGCCACGCCGGTCGGGCGTGCACGCCCGTCGTCTAGCGCCGACGTGTGGGACTCCCGGTCCCGCTGCTCGCGTCCTGCCAAGGCGTGGATGAGCCAAACCCACTGCCGCGCCCATCTCTCCCTCCCTCTATTTCCGTCGTCGTCGTGTCACATCGCGGTGAAGCCAGAGAGCGAGCACCTCTCATCAATTCCTCGTGCTCACGTCTCCGTCTTCACGCCCCCTCTCCAGCCGACCCCACCCCACCTTGACTCGTGCCACACCAAGCTCCAATTTTGGAATCTTGCCACCGCCATGCCATTAAGGCTCGTCGCCACCCGCGTCGTGGCCAATCTCCACCACTTTACCCCGCGCCAATTCCTTTGCATCGTTAGCTCGCCTTGGCTTCCTCTTTGTCGTGCGCACGCTAGTCATAGCTTTTGTGCCACCTCCTCATCGCTGACGCTGCCGTGCCTTAGCGGTTTGCTGTTTGCCTCGCTGCGCGCACGCGGCCAGCCTCGCTCGGGTCGTCTTTGGCCGAGCTAGCTTCTTGGTAAAGTCACCGGTGAGTTGTCGTTGCTCACCCGCTGCTCTACTACCTTGATTGTTACTGCGGCTCACCTGAACGCCATCGCCATTGCCATTGCCGCAGGGTGTCTACCATCGTGGAGAGGTCCTTCTACGGCGTCCCAGCTCGCACAACCACCGCCCATCATCTCGCGTCGAATCCTAGGTGAGCGTCGGCCTCGTAGGTAGGTTAGCGAGGGCCCCGTGTGACCGGCGTAGGCGCCTGTGCCACTACTCGCTGCGTCGGAGCATGCGGGGATGGCCGAGGGTCTCACTGTTGTAAAGAGGAGAAAGATTCGAGGGTTATTTTGCATAAGTGTTGTCTCTAGAAATAGTAACATGGACTGCGGGTTGTTCTGTTCATAGTCCAGGTGCGTTTTTGCATATGTGCCAGCGCGCGCAGGCTTCCTCGCCGTGGGCCGCCTCCGCGCGTGGGCCGCGCCTCGCCTGTGGGCCGCCGCGCGCGCGTTGTGCCGCGTGGGCCAAAATTAGTTTAGATTTTTTGTGGAAAATAGAAATAGCTTTTCATTTGTAATTCTGAGCTAAACTTTAGTAAATCATATAAAATCATGTAGGTATCCAAAAATTGTGAAACCAATTTTGTTAGGTTCTTAAAATTGTGCTCTATCTGTTAGTGTATTGAGTTCATATATATATATATTTGTGAATACCAACGGCTATTAAATCATTTTGTGGCAAATTAGTAATAGCTTTGACCATGAAAATTTTACAGTAGATTCCTTGTATTATTATGTGCTTACTATAATTTTTGTAGCCTTAGAATTGGTGGAGAAATATGATAGCTAAGTACTCCTTATTGTAGTATATAGGAAATCGTTAATAAGAGTAAGAATATATTTTAGTTGCTAAGTAGCACTTGTAGGTGAAACCCTGCTGGTTTGATGGGAATGATGATTAGCTTGGTATCTTAGTCATTAGAACTAGCTTAGTGGCTTAGTGATGTATTCTTATTTTAGAACTACTGTTGCCTTAATATTGAGCGTTGCATCGTCATTGCATGCATGTAGAAAACGAGTTGGTGGAGTTCATGACCGCGGGCGAGCAGGAGTACGAGGAGGTGATTGAAGAGTACGAGGAGGAGATCCTCATGCAGGAGGAGGTCCCGGAGCCGCCACTGACTGACTGAGCTAACACCACGCCTGCCCAAGGCAAGCCCCGGTGCATAACCCTTATTTTGAACAATCACTGGAAATATATATATGATGTGCATTTATGTTACATGATTTATATTGAAACTACATGCATAGATATACCTACCTATGAGTCCTACTAGCTCAGGTCGAGTAGCTGCTATGCTTGGGTTTATCGGTAGCGTGAGTAACCTACCGTTACTCACAATAGATGATTATTATTATCACTCATGATAAAATGATGAGAGAAAAAATGGAGACCGGGTAGGGATATGGTATGGGTATTGGTGGGTGTAAGAGGTTGTGTCCCACGGCCAATAGGGTATAGCTTGGTTACACTATTTTCCCTGTCCGTGTCAGTTAAGGACCGGCCATTGCATTGGATTCTAGTTAGATCACAGACTTATTATCCTGATGAAAGTTCTATTTTGGTTTTGGTGAATTGATGAAACCCTTAGTGCTAACCTAGTTTATCAAAGCGATTATGAGATAGGTAGCACTACTCCAACTGACGAAGCAAATGAAGATCATGACATGATGATGTTGATGGCATGGTGATGATCAAATGCTTGGACTTAGAAAAGAAGAAAGAAAAACAAAAAGCTCAAGGCAAAGGTGAAATTGATAGGTGCTTTTCGGTTTAGTGGTCGAGACACTTAGAGAGTGTGATCATATTTAGGATTGATAGCCATACTATTAAGAGGGGTGAAACTCCGTATCGAAATGCGGTTATCAAAGTGCCACTAGATGCTCTAATTCATTGCATATGCATTTAGGATCTAGTGGAGTGCTAACACCCTTGAAAACATTTGTGAAAATATGCTAACACATGTGCACACGGTGATACACTTGGTGGTTGGCACATTTGAGCAAGGATGGAGAAGTTGGTGAAATGAAGGAGGTGATAGTCACTAAAAAACAGTGACCGGACGCTGGTCATGTGGTGACCGGACTCAGGGGAGCAGCGTCCGGTCAGTAGTTGATTAGTGGCACGGTCTCGG